GCAGCGGTAGCCCTCCTTCCAGCCCTTGTACTCCACCACGGCGGTAGGCATGGCGCCCGGCGGCCCCATTCGCCGCAGCAGCCCTGCCCCGCAGCGCCCCGCCCGGCCGCGGCTCCGGTGCGGGCTGTGTCCCGGTCAGGCCGGACTAGGCCTTCCTCCGTTTGCTGGATTAGTTCTCGGTTTGATTGTAGATGACCAAAAATGATCAAACTGTGTTTTCACATACCCTCATGACGACGTTTTATCACCCCTGCTACCTCAGCTGCTTGATCAGACACCTGCACCAGGGGAACGGGAAGGGAGAAATCCTAAAAACTCCAGAGACAGTGGTCCTCAGATGAGCATTTTCTGGAGATAAGAGCTAGACTTTATTCTTTTCAACAGAAATAATGCCATGGCCTAATATAGCTGTCCTGCCAAAGTTACAAAACCAAATACATACAATAGGCTGAAGGAGGAATTTTTATCTGTAATTGAGACTAAATTTCTAAAGCCAGACCTTGATTTCCAGAACAATAAGAATAGAAAAACAACATCAAATTTATTCTGTAGCACCCAAGATCATCTAGGTAAGATTATCACAGCAGAAGTGGTTAATCATGTAAATTCCACTTGCAGGCTGCTATTGGCGAGAGCCAGGGGATGTAAGAAAGGGGAGAGCATTTCCTTTTTACGAAAGCTCTTAAGTGTCAGTAAGCTTCATACAAAGTAGTAAACATAGTCATAATAAATAGTATCTGGTTATAACCCTGTGACATGTATAAACAAGACGGCTTATATTCTATATATCCTTATATTCTATATAAAGTGTCGAGATGTCAAAATAAAAATAAATTTAATTTTACAATATATACATATAAAAGGTTTCCTTCAGAAAAGGTTTTAAAATATTTTCTTTAAGGCACCTATGGGGAAAGAAAAAAAAAAGAGAAGACAATAAGATAATATGCATTAAGATGTAGAACTTAGCAAACTGTGACAATAAAAGAATTCTATCGTTTAAAAGATTTTAGAGGGAACAAGGCTGTCTTTCTCTTCCTGCTTCCCTAAGTCTTTCTTCATGCTACTCTATTAACAATATCACCTGATAGTAGGTTCAAAGAAGTACAAAAGCTAAGCTATGATTCCTTACAGCATTGCATGCCAAATAAGAGTATAAAGTTCCAAAAGCTAACTGAAGTATATCACTTCAAATATAAAATCAAAGGGGTTTTTTTCAGTTAATTATTGTGTAGACTAGAAGACATTGTTTTCCATGAAGAGATCAGGAATATGGAAATATTCCAGATGTTATAGTTACCCTGCTTAGTAGTTTTTCTACATTTGTAAATAACTGGCAGTTTCCCTGCAGTTCTTCCACGTGCATGAGGAATACATGCACTGCATCCTTATTTAGTTTAATTTATGACAAGGACTTACTTTAAGAATTAAGCTATGTCCATTTCATCTTCATTACTCTGAGGAGGAGGGCTAATCATGGGTTCTGTTATTTCATACGTTTCTATGATCTCCTGGTTAAGAGATGACAAGAGTATGAAAGTTAAAAGAGCAGAACTATTTCCATTTCATTGCAGTTACCACCAGGTAAGTAATGAAGTTTCTCGTACTAAAGCACTATTTCAAATGACTAAGTTTCCTCTGCACATTCAGAGTGAGGGACAAAGGAGAGGAGTTGTATGTGCTAAAAACCACTTTTTGTCTAAGATCCATTACAAACAGCGAGGAAGTTGTACAGAGACCTTCCCCTCCAGGAGCAAGTATCATATGGAAGGGAAGAAACAGACTCTCTATTTATGCAGTGCTCATATAAAACAGTAAAGGCAAGTCACTGCACAATTTCAAAGCACTTAAACTGACCGGGCTTCAGGGATCAAAGGTGAAATTCCTATCCCAATTCTCAGTTTTCTTGCAGTTCAAGACATTCCTTAGATTTATGATTGTTCTCGAATCCTGTGCTGGTTTTGGCTGAGGTAGAGTTCATTTTCTTCCTAGCAGCTTAGCATGAGGCTGCGTTTTGGATTTGTGCTGAGAAGAATGTTCATAACACACTGGTGCTGTAGTCATTGCTAAGCAGTGTTTATACTCAGCCTCTGCTGAAAAGCCCAGCCCTGCCAGCAGAGGCTGGGGGTGCACAAGAAACTGAAAGGGGACACAGCCAGGACAGCTGACCCCAACTGGCCAAAGGGATATTCCATACCTGGTGCCATCACATCTAGTATATAAACTGGGGGGAAGGCTGGCCAGGGGACACTGCTTGGAAACTGACTGGGCAGCAGACAGCAAGTGGTGAGCAATTGCTGTGTGCATCACTTGTTTTGTACTTCATTATATACCTGAAAGGTGCCTATAACAAATCTGGGGAAGAGCTGTTCACTGGGGCATGGAGCGATAGGACATGGGGCAATGGTTTTAAACTAGAAAAGGGTAGGTTTAGGTTGGATATGAGGAAAAAGCTCTTCCCCATGAGGTGGTAGATCACTGACAAAGGTTGCCCAGAGGTGGTGCAGGCCCCATCCCTGGAGATATTCAAGGCCAGGCTTGATGGGGCTGTGAGCAACCTGATCTGGTACCAATGTCCCTGCTCACTGCAGGGGTTGGACTGGAGGGGCTTTAAAGGTCCAATCCAATACATTCTAGGATTCGATTATTATTATTATATTATTGTTATTATTTTCTTTCTTTTCTGTTCTATTAAACTCTCTTTATCTCAACCCATTAGTTTTGGGGTTTTTTTTTTCCTTGATTCCTGCCCCCATCCCACTGGGGGTTGAGAGGGAGTGAGCAAGCAGCTGTGTGGTGTTCAGCTGCCTGCCAGGTTAAAACACAACAAATTCATAAAATTAAATGTAGAGATAATATGCACAAGAACACCCATCCTCAGAATATGTAACAGCACAGCTCTCAGATGCATTCTTACACTTCAGAAAAAAAGAAAACCAACCAAAACAGAAGCATCAAACACTCTTGTACCTTCCACTCTTGATGGCTCAGAGATATGACAACCTGGTTCCGCGCTCCAGCACTGAAGTCACTCTCCTTTGCCTTGCTGTCTTTTGAGGGCTCTGTTCAAAATATAGTATATTCATAAGCTCTACACTTGTAAAAACAGTTTCGTCCAGAAACACAAAAGCTTCACAAAAAGCCAATCAATTATACATGCTCCACTAAGCTAATCTCTATCAATAGCCCGTACCATATACTAAACAAATTTCTTTAGTCTTACCTCCCAAAAACTTAGCAACTAACTTTTCCCAGAGTCCCAGAAGGACCTAAGTATTTAATCCTTTATGAAATCCCACAAAGTCTTAATCCCATTGATATCCCATGGGAATGAAAGCTAAAGACCTCGTACGTAGGATGGCTTTTCCTTTTCTAGTGTTCTGAAGTTGCAGCACTTTCCAACTCAGAAAGACAAAGGAGACTTTTTCCACATAAAAATATCTTTTCTCATGGTTGTATACTTATTAGCAAAACTATCACTTAAAAGGTAATAACCTTTTCTTTCTATTAATAGAATGAATTTGTATAGATCAGCGTAATGGTGTTTTTCCAAATGGTGATATTTAAAAAGAGACTCAGACCTTTCAGTTCCTCTCATAAATCTCTTCATGCCTTCAGTTACATTCACTACGTATTCCCAAAGCTCTACTCTTGCAGCTAAAAATATACCTAAAACTTTGTGAAACCGTAAGATTTAGCTACTTTTCAATGTTGTACCAAAAAATATTGCAGTCCTTTAAAGTTAGATTTTACCTATTATCGGCAATTTATCGTCATCCAGCTTTATACTTGCAAGACCGTCCTAAAAGACAGTAGAATTTAAAGTTCAGAAATCAGAGCTATCCAATTAGGATAATGCACTGAGATTTTATATTTTTAATTAATACATTATATAAACATGTACATATATCGATAAAGATTCTTAACTGGCATACCAAACAAGAGAAATTATTTAAATATAGCACTTATTCATAAAGAATGCAACTGGTATAGGAGAGCTGATAACTGTTGGATTATAAAAAACTGTTTTATTAAAAATCATTAGTCATTAAATACACTTGAGTTAACCCTTCATAATTGCACCACTGTTCACCGTAAACCTGAACTTAATCTATTTAAGTTTTTCTCTCTTCTCAAATGGATTTCACTTACTAGACAAAGTGCAAATCTACAGACTTGAAAAGAACATAAAACACTGTGCTGACACTTTCCTACAACCTCAATAACTCTTCTATACTCTATGACTACTCTTCTATAACCTGAAATAAAGTGAGCTAGAATCCCTTCTCGAAAAGTGTATTAACAGCAAAAACTTCACTATTGTTTTGTTGCTAAATTGACTATAGTAGAAAAATTTCATTAAAAAAAGTCTGTCAACTCTGTTTTCTTTTTTATTCAATTACCCAAAAATTATATATTGTTTGTAGAAAACAGATTAGGATTCCAAATATTTAAATCTCGATCCGTCAATACTGAAGTCATAAAAACAACAGATCACTATTTCTAGATAATCCCGATATCTAAAAGCAGGTTTCGAGAACGTGGCATGCCTTACCCTTATAATGAAGGACACATGAAAAATGTTTTCCACAGTGCGTGCAAAAGAGTTTGGATCAATCACAAGATCAAAGAAGGAAATGGGTGTATCAGCTAGAGAAGCAAAAATGGGTTTGTTAAAACAATAAAAGTCACAAACAGGTGGCATACACAGAGCTAATATATGGAAATACAAACTTGAAGTCCTTACTCCTTTGCAAAGTTAACCACGTGTTTCTGTCACTTTAGTTACATTGCTGAATCCCCACTTTGCTGCAGAAAGAAACAACGTTTCTACAGAACATTGTTTTCTTCCATCTTTCGCCACCCCCATACACATACACAGTGACCACTTGATTGCCTTCTCAAAAATGGCATGCTCTAATAAGAGAGGGTAGGATTTAAATGTGCTTTGCAATCAAGCAGCATCTTATCAGTGTTCATAAAAAATATGTAGGTCAGTAGATATCCTTCAACTTAAAGATTTCTACTTGCAAACTCCACCTCACTTTGTTTCTGCTCTTAACTATGCAAGATTAAGAGCATTCATTTTCTCAAAGCAGTGCTTTAAAAGCTAAAGTGAACCATACTTACGATCATTTTTATAATGAGTTTGCAATATTCCCAAGATCCTCTCTACCTCTTTTTCTGTAGCTTCCTCCTGAGACTCCTCCATTTTTTTTAACTGGAAAAAAAGAAACATAGTTTCACCTCAAATAACCACTGCTGTAACACAATATGGAAGGTCATGGCATGAAGTTTGACACTGTTAAAGGTCACGATTACTGTGATTTTACAGACTTTTCATTATCTGTAAAGCAGGGTACTTCAAATGATCCTTAAAGTACTGTTGTCAGCAGAGCACCAAATTCACTTTTCGAGTACAGTCTGCTGTAGTTTGCTGTTCCTGTCAGCTAACGCTTTCTCTTCAACCACCTTGCAATAAAGCAAGATACAGAGAATCCTTCACACACAGCTACACACCTAGCACAGATTAACCTGTTTGAATGATTATCAGCATTTACCTAAGCAAACCACCAAAAGCAGTCACTCAGTTCTGGAAGCAACTTTCTCAAACCCTCCAGCTCCTTTCCTTCCCAGTACAAACTGCATCAGAATAATTTCTATCACTATTTGGTTCATTATGAAGTAGGCTGTATTTAAAAAGATACTGAACATTTTGCCCCTATGTACTGGCATTATTCCCCATAACAACATGGTTTATTTTTTCAAAGTTTTAAATGTGAGCCTCTCTATAAGTATCCCCAGACTTTTGCCTTTCTGTAAAGCAGGAAGAATAGGGAAACAGAAAGCAGGGAAAATAGTGGTTAAGTGAGCTACTGAGTTAGCTTTGTTAACCACATTTCTGTGCGGACGTCACACACTGATAGACACTTCGTAAATAAAAGTTGAAAACACGCTATAGTAAAAAAGCTTAACTTTTGTTTCCTTTCAAACCGATGAAATTTGAAAACCTTGAACTTGAAAAATCAGTGTGTAAATCCTATTTCCTTCCACTCAGTGAAATAATGCAGTCCACACAAAACAAATCAAGAAGCCTAATAATGAAATCTGAATCCCTTAGTATCTCACAATCTGTAACTACAAAACCCAAAACAACGTGAACAGAAAGATTAAAAATGTCACTTGTAATAACTATGCCGTAACAACTGGTTACTAAAGAGAACACTTCACAAACCTGAGCTGGCATTGCTCGTTTTTGTTCTCCTCCTGTAGCCTTTTTCTGCCTCTCAATCCGTTGCCTTGGTACAGGAGGTTCAGACTTGAAAGATCCCAACCTAATCAAAATAAAAACACCATACATATGGAAATATGTTCTACATTGTACACTAAGAAATGTATATACCGAGCAGTTGATCTCCTGATAAAAAGTGCAAAGTAATGACTGATATCTAAAAATAAAGCCTCAGCACTTTTGTAAACATCCCCAAAAATTCCTCCCGATACATGTGGCAGCCTCACACCAGAATTATCAACAGATGTGTACAATTTGATGCAATTATTCTTATTTTCTTTAGCTGAACTGAAAACTTTAAATGTACTTTTCTTAAAGCTAGTTAAGAAACAGAGCATATGGTTCATATCCTCCAATATCTCCATTTGAATTTATTATGAACTTTTCTGCCTGAAAACTCGCTCCATACAATATTTCTTTCTTTTTCATTTATTGTTTAATTTCTGTAAGTTCAGGTTTGCAGTAATTCCAATTCAGGTTTGCAAATTTTTAAAATATAAATCGACCAGTAGAACATAGAAGAGATCAAAAGTTTCTCATTAAACAAAGTGAGTGTAATATACGTGCTAGATTTAGGCACTTTCTTGAAGTGCTTACCTCTCTCCATTGACTATATAAGGAACTTAGGCTCCTAACTTTGGTTGCCTTGAGTCTCCACCAAGTTAGATGCCTAAAGGAGAGAGTGTGAATTGAGACTCAATTCAAGTTAGTTCAGCA